TGTAGCTTGCAGCATAAACATTTAAGTACGGTAAATCCACAAAGATATGGCTAAAAAAAAATGGAGGATTCTGAAATGGTCAAATCAAAGCCTGGATATAAATCCCATAGAGAGGTGTGGGTGATTTGACATAGGCTGTGTGTACAAGAAACTCCTCAAACATCACACATCTGAAAAAATTCTGTGTAAGTGGGAAAATATTCTTTCAACCAGTATCAGAGATTGGTAGACAGTTAAAAAAAAAGCCTAAATGATGTTATATCTGCCAAAGGAGGCAATACCAGAAATTAGAGCCAGAAATTAAAGAGTATTTCTACTTTTTCCACAGAAGGAAATGGCATATCTATTCATTATTTGTTGAATAAATGATTGAAAGCAATTTTTTTGAGGGCTTTTCTGTTCAATTACATCACTTTTATACTGTTAAAATGAAAACAATATATTGATTATATCTCTTTTTTAAAAAAAGGAAAAAAAGCTTTACATTGGATGCACTTACTTTTTCACATGGCTGTGGATGTGTGAGGATGGATTTGGACTTTGCTCCCCTAGGTCTTTGTCTAATTCTTTAATATTACATTTTAACATTTTACTGAAGTTATCAAGTTAATTCAAGTTGCATTATAAATGATAACAATATACAGTAAGGAAAAGCAGAAAATGTAACTCCTCTAGGCGAAGCCCTCTCTCATCTAGTAATATCTAATAAGAACAAAAAACAAAAAAATATAAATTGAAATAACACCCCCCCTCCCAGTCTTACATAACAGAATCAAGCACAATGCAAAATGGATGGATCTGTATTTCTTTGTAAGAAGACTAGTCATCATAGACATTTATCAATATATTTTAGGAATAATTTTTTCCTTGTAATAAGTCATATATTGTTGTTGTTGTTGTTAATTGCGAAGTCGTGTCCGACCCATCGCAACCCCATGGACAACGTTCCTCCAGGAAGTCATATATAATAGTATTAAAATGTTATGGCTAGATATGCTTTATAAAGGTAGTTTTCTTATAGGTTTACCTGACAGCTATGAAAAATAGTTTAAATGGAATAAACTATAATGATATTTTTTCTTATCATGCCATAATTATGAGGTCATCAATAATATCTCAGTCAATAGCAGCTTGAATAACAAGTTAAAGGAGAGAGCTTCTAATTAAAAGCAAAGTCACTCTGAAGGGCCTTATTCACACTTTAGCAATTACAACAAATAATCTCATTTATTTAGGTGAATTATTGGGAAAAATCATCACAATCCAGGTGACCATACGAAGCACTGTAATTTGATTTGTAATTAGGGAAGCAAGGTCTGCAGTCCCAGACTACACAAGTAATATTAAAGCATCAGTTTTAAAGAAATCATTTTCATGCTGTGTATCTTCAGAATTTAAATGAAATTTTTTTAATGTTTCAAACTACATATATAGAATTTACGTATTGATAACATACTGTAAAACTATTTTCAAGTTAAGATCTTATTTAAATTATCACTTTAGTAAATATCCCCTTGAATTTGCAAAAAAACAGATATTTAAATATTGTAGGCAATCTAATGAAAATTACTAACTTATAAAAAAAACATTTAGCAGTTCATTATTATTCCCTTTCCCTTCACTAAACTACAAATTAAATATTCTCTTTTTTGTTTTTAACAGATATATACTGGACTCATTCTTTCCCTAGATGTATTTTTCTATCAATAAATTCCTTTGGATAATTATGTAGGCCACAAATAACAGCTTGCATATTTCTTGTAAAAGAAAAGCTAAGACAAAGAATTTGCTGATACACTCATGTCCCTCCAAGAATTCTCCTGACAACGTTCCCACACCCAACCTAATTACTTCCCTACTGTAAAAACATATTCCATCTGCACTTATTCTAATACTCTCAAGTCCAAAACCAATACACAATAAAGTCAGTTAAATAAATGAAAGATTGAAACACATATAAAAAGTCCTGAACTATTCTGCAAGTGAAAGCATCTCTAACACTGATTTTTATGCTGACATTTCACTTTATTTATAATATTTTCTTAAGCCCTGTTTATGAAAGAATTATCATGCTCCAGGCATATTCTCTACCATAGCATGCTCTTAGTGTCACTCTATACTTTAAGGTTTATTGTTGACTTTATGTAATACTTTGCTATACCGTACAACAAATTTTCATTTGAAATGTATACAGCAGCAATCCCCAAACCTTTTGGTGCCAGGGCCAGTTTCATGGAAGGCAATTTTTCCACAGACCAGGGAGGGATGGTTCTTGTGCAAGCTAGATCCTGCGCATGTGCAGATGAAGCTTTGCATCCACTGCTTGCATGGGTCAGTTTCTAACAGGCTGGTAATAGTCCACAGCCCAGGGGTTCGAAACCCCTGGTATATAGTATGAAGAATCAGTATGAAGAAAAAAAGAGTTTGATACAACTCATAAAAAATATTAGGGAATATTTCATTTATAATGAATCTTTATGATAAATAAAATCACTTTATCTTATAATGTAAACAAAAATTAAGTAGATTATCGAAAATATTTCATTCTTATTGATCCATTATATTATAATACATATCACTTTCCTTGGATATTCTTCCTCTTTTTAGCCATACAACAATAAATCTTGCATAACATGAGAAATCGTGACTGGCCCAAAATAATCCAGGTGTAAATTTGAACTAAGGTTTCACCTCTATACATTGAACGGAGACCTGAATCTCAAGGAAACACGTGTAATTCAGAACAAATTTTTATTTAGATAAGGCACTTGGGGCATGTTTGGATTCTGGGCTTCCACAAAATTCTGTTCCTGATCCAGTTCTCTGGCATACAGTGAAGGGGAATACCATAAGGACTGATCTCCTCTTGCCATATAGTAATATATTTTGGTGAAGGATGGAAAGAAGAGGAAAAATTCTACTGACAAAACTGCTTTCAAATTGAAGTGATTGTTATGATCCTTACAAACAGATTTCTACTAGCCATCCTTATCACCAATAACCATCCTTATCACATCAATCTAAACACATAGCTAGGCTGAGAAGGAAGGACAATACCACATTACTTAACATCACTTCACTGTTCCCTATTCTCTCAACCTGAACATTTGGGCATAGCAATGTTCTACAGCAGGGGTTCCCAACCTGTGCACCACGGCCCATTACCAGGCTGTAGCATATTCACAACACGAGCACACACAGCCCGACTCACTCAAGGGTTGGGGCTCACAGCCCCACTCACATGAACGGCGAGCACCCGGGCCATTTGCGTTCACACAAATAAAGTTGTATGCTTGAACCTGCCCCTCACACAAACCATTCCCTCTCCCTCCCTTTTCACCATACAGGGCTGCCAACCTGGAAAGGTTGGGAACGCTGTTCTATGGTTCTAATAAACTGTGCTTATTACCCAAAAATATTTGTAAGTTATCTTTGATAACTTATCTGGGATAGACTTTTACTTAGATGAGACATAAAATACAGGTAGTCCTTGACCTATGATCACAATTGAGCTCCAAATTTCCATTGCTAAGCAAGACAGTTCTTAAGTGACTTGTGATCATTTTTCACAGTTACGACTTTGGCAGCATTCCATGATTATTCAGATGCTTGACAACTGGTTCATACTTAAGACCATTGCTGTGTCCCAGGGTCATGTGATCACTTTTTGCTACTTTCTGACAAGCAAAGTCAATGGGGAAGTCAGATTTGCTTTATAACTATGTTACTAGCATAACAACTGCAGTGATTCACTTAACCACTGTGGCAAGAAAGGTCATAAAATGGGGCAAAACTCACTTAACAAATGACTCACTTAAAGCAGAAATTTTGGGCTCAGTCATGGTCATATCTCGAGGACTACCTGTACATTAAATACTCTACTTAGCTGCAGGACTAAGAAAATTAATTTAAAAAACAAGAACTCAAGTAGTACAAAATAAATAGGGATTATTTATAATGTTACTCCCTCATAAAAATCTTCATAAATAGCTAAAAATTATGCTTTTACATTCTATACTTATGCTTCAAATAACATTTATTTACATTCGAATAACATTTATCCTAGAAGAAGAAAATAAATAGAATCTACACTATTACTGAAGTCAGCTAACCCAGGGGTCCCCAACCCCCAAACCGCAGCCTACTACCGGGCCATGGCCGATTCGGAACTGGGCTGTGTGAGAGGCGGGCCGGTGCACATATGTGTATGCAACTCCACTCACGCGAGCAACTGGTTGGTACGCACAGCTCCACTTGCATGAGCAGTGGGCCGACATGCATGCACATGCACGCCAGGTTGCCGCTTGCACAAGTAGAGCTGCGCGCATGAGCATGCATGTTGGCCCACTGCTTATAAGGCCCAGTTCCCCTCCTCTCCCCAACCGGGCCACCAAGCCATAAAGGTTGGCAACCACTTAGCTAATCCATAGTTGTGATACTTTATTTTTGACAAAAAATCAATTCACAAAGGTTTACAATTTATTGTATGCTACTGTTCAAAATTCTGTGTTCTGGTCAGATGCATGTTATCTCAAGTTGTATATAATATTAGGATTGTTTAAAAAAATAATATTTCAAGAGGTGAAAATGCAATAGAAGAAGCAATTCAGAAAAGTCCAGGCTATTTCCTACTCTGACTTTTACTCAAAACACATGTCATGTCAGAACATAAATACTAGATACATATTTAAAGCTGGTCTTATTTTATTGCAAAAATAGAGAAAAACAAAAAAAACACTGAACTACATTATATGTAATATTTTATTAATATCTGTACCATTTTTATTCCGTGTAAAAAACAGAAACATAGATGTTATAAATTGTAATTCATATTTTGCCCTAGTTTTAATCTTGGCATATATGTGTATATATATAGTCCGAATCATGGCATTTAAATTTTTTGATAATAATCCACCCTCTTATTTTCATTAGCTTTTGGCTTTAATTATTACTTTTATAAATAATTTTATAGGTTATTATCACTCAAATTTGTCAATTACCTGGAATTCTGAGATTCTGAAACATCTGAATCTGGGCACGTTTTTTTCACCTGAAAAAAGAAGAAATAGAAGAATCATGCTTACACGTGATCATAACCAGAAAGACTTCCTCATCTGAAGTTTATGCACTTACTTCATACAAAATGAATATTTATTATTCACCACTATCTCTATACAATGTTTCTCATATTCTACAATATGGACAATCAATGTACAGAGTGTTTAATTATCCTGTAATTATCCTATAAATATTCCCAAACTTAACTGCAGTTTGGGAAAATTTAAAATTTAAAATACAGAAATCAAATGCCTAAGTTTCTCCACAAAGAAATCAGAAAGCTAGGCTGTTTTCAATTCCATATAGAAATGTTTTCTGAACTGATATCACTTCTATTTTTTATCTGAGACTCATCATAATAAATACTAGATTCTGTGAAAAAAGTGCAAGGTAATGCAGAAAAGTTTGGATTTTAAATTCAAAATGAAATCACAGCTGTTTTTACTGGGTATAATCCCTGAAAAAAAATCAACCAAAAAACATCATAATTTAATGTGATGTATGCTTACAGCAGCAAGAATAAATTTTGCTCAACATTGGAAGAGAGACACAGTTCTGGTAATATTTGACTGGAAATTTATACTTGGAAAATATGTAAGAGTAGCAAAACTTACAATGTATGTGTGTGTGCGGGCACACACGCACACAGACTAGAAGTTTAACTTAAGCAAGAATGGTTCCTATAGATACAACACATCATACAGCACAGCAAACATAATTAAAGTTTGGCTTCTAGGAGGACCTAAATGTCTACAAATTATTCCATGTGATCATGTGGTGTTACAACTGGCTATAAGTGCAAACCAATTGCTAACTGATTACCCAGATTACGAACATGTGATTGTGGAGTTGTTGGCCCAGACATAACTCTGAGGATTGGTTAAAAATCTCCATGTGTTCAGCATTGACATAATTTTGGATATTTGCTGAACAAATGGTTGTAAGTCGAGAACTAGCTCTAAAATGAAAAAAATGGTTTTGTCTTCTTAAGTTGGTAATTTTTGCATTTATGTGGTGCTCGTTCAAATATTTTGCAGTGATCTAAATGATATCTATAAGATATTATGTGCTTCACCTTTTCAATCTACCCAACAGATGCAAAAACATCATTCAATGAATTTATATTTTAAAAGAACACAAATTAAGAGGTTCAAATTTTCATGCTTTATAGAAAAACAGCAGTATTTACTCTGAATTTCATTCTTCTCAACTGGCTTCTTTCTTAGATAGTTCAGTCCACTATTTGCTAGAATAGAAAGGCAGGGTTCAGCATAACATAATTTAGTCCATTTATTTATGGTCACTGGCCAGGAGATATCTATCCCAAAAAACATGAAAAGAATTATAATAAATGAATATTAATATGCTTCATTCTCATTGCTAGGAAGTTCTCTAAATTGGGGTTGATTAATTCTGACTTCAGATTTTTATAAAAGGTTACAACAGATGTGTAATGTATTATCCTTTCACAATCTCTCGAATCTGTCCTTTCTCAGAGGTGGTGGGGTGGAAGGATCAATCAAAGAAATTGCCCGCAGAAATCACTTATTTCTCTCTCTCCCTTCCCGCTGTAAAGTGGAGAGATTGGAGAGGAAGGGATTTCAAGAGCGTAAGCTGTTTGGATTAAATGGGCTCAAAATTTTGATGAACCGATTTCATTAGATACATGGGAGATTATTTGGTTGAGGAATGTTAAATTTACACAAGCGCAAAACTTACGGGAAAATTTCTATAAAATGTTTTACAGATGGCACCTTGATCCACAAAAAATGTCTCGTTATGTATTCAAATTTGCAGCCTAAATGTTGGAGATGTGGTTGCTTGGATACAACGTATTATCATATCTGGTGGTCATGTAAAAATATAAAAGCTTTTTGGATCAAGATATGGTGGAATATTCAAAGAATCTTTAAAAGAAGGATAAAATTTACTCCACAATTGTTTTTGTTGGGTATTGTTTCCGATTGTGATGACAAAGAAACTATTTTAATGTTAAACTTAATTACAGCGGCAAGGTTGTTAATAGGACAATATTGGAAGAAGGAATTTTTGCCTACTTTGCAGGAATGGTTTTTTAAAGTTTCTTACTTATCTGAAATGGCAAAAATTTCGGCTTTTTTGAAAGATCAATCGCAAGAGAAAAGTATCTTTTGGTATGGAAAAGATGGATAAATTTTATACAACAGAAGTATGATATTAGAAAATATTATTTAGCCTTTGAATAATTTATATTTAAAGTTTAAGATATTATTTAGAAGTGTAGAATAGTTTTGTTTTGTCTTTCTTTTCATTATTTTTCTTATTTTCTTTTTTTTCTTCTTTTTCTCTTTCTGTTTTTTATATATAATGGAGTTAAAGTACTTAATAATTTGTTTACTGAATGTAATCATATTTGTTTGAGGCTTATTTGAGTTTAAAAGTTTTTTCTTTTAAGTTCTAGTTAACCCTGTATTCAGCTCTGGGAAGAATGGGGGAGGGTTTTGGGGAGGGTTGGGAGGGATTGGGAAAGGGGTTTTTATTGTAAAATTGTAAAAATTTATAATAATAATAAAAAAAAGAGAGTAAGCTGTTTGCATAGTACAACTGTGGTTCCCAGCTCTGGGCTTCCGATATGATTGCATTACTTTTGATGTGTACAACAATAAGCAGGGACTTGAGCGTTCTAAACAGCAGGGGAGTGGTTAGGAGGCAAACAAAAACCAAAGATGTGAAATTGAGTATCGTAGTTTTATCTCTTTCTGGTCTAAAAGCACAGTCACGGTCATATGATTTCCCACTCTGCTTAGCAGCAGAGTTGTTGTTCCCAGTTAAGCATTACCTGTATTAAAAATTATGGAAGTAAATCAGATAAGACTTACATGCTCTACTTATACTGCTTGATTTACAATATAATATGTATTATTTTGTAGCAATCCTAGAACATAAAAATAAGGCCCTATTTGCATAAGCATCACCCTATACTATGAGAAGGAAGATGCTCAAACTGATAGAATTTTTTATTACTCAGTCCTAGGAAACTACTGCAATTTCAAACAACTCTAATCAACATACAATCCATATCAATAACAAAGATTAAATAGTGAAAATGCACAATACAGCTATGTTTTTCTATTTAAACTTTATTGGATTATAAAAACAAAACAAAGTTTAGCTACAAATAACTAAAAATAATTAATGCTCAATCCTCTGACTCTCTGGTGTTAAGATCATGTTCTAAAAACCTGAAAAACATAGAAATGTTCAGTAAACTGGATTTACTTAATTACATGATTATTTCCTATGTATATAAAAATTTTATGTAATTATATTTAGTATTCATAATAACTTTCCCTAAACATCATTTTCAAATAAACAGTAAGAACTATGGTTCAGTGACATATTTCAAAAAGATTTCTGCTATTCACCTACTTAAAGAAAATTGAAAATTACTAATGTCTTGAAAGTGTTTGATTTCAGGATATTTCAAAAAGATTCTGCTATTCACCTACTTAAAGAAAATTGAACAGTTGTCAATAAATGCTAATGAATTCTATGTTATAACTCAAACATTAATTGCTCAACTTTTGTTTTTTATTTTGCATTGTACACTCTTATTTGTCATTCTATATATACTTACTAAGTGCACGGTAAATGATTTAATATTTTTAAATATTTTAATGCAGTTTTTTAAATAATTCTTTTAAACTATCTAAGCATGGATCCTGTTTTTTCTCAGCATAAATTCTTTTGTGATTTAGGCTGGGAAAATAGTTCTACAAAAAGCTATTTTTGAGGAGCCACTTAATGTAATTCTAAGTATACAAATACCTTTAATAACAGTACAAATGTAAAGGTTTTATCAGAATGAAATATATAAAATTTTATTTTGTAAACTTTTAGTTTAAAATCTGTAACTGATAAAAATATCAGATCCACCTAGTGTGCCTCCTAATTAAAAAAACTTGCATGATATTCACTAGATCAGTGGTGGCAAACCTATGGCACACATGGGCATGCGCGCCATTGCCCCAGCTCTGCCTCCCCCTGCAGCCCCCTTGGAGGAGAGTCGGCCCCAGGCATAGCCTGTGCGGAGCAGCATAGCCAAGGACATGGCAGCTGGGCAGCAGGGACAAGACTCTGCCCTCGTGCCCCATCACGCACAGATGATGCTGTGGATTGTGGGTGGAGGGCGTGGCTGCTATGGCGCTGCAGGGCCACCTGGGCAATCTGCTGTGGTGGGCCATGGAGGTGGTAGGTGGCCCTGTGGCCAGAAGGGGGGGAGGTAGAGTGGGGTGGGGGCAGGGGCACTCGGTGTCTAAAAGGTTCGCCATCAGTATACTAGATCATATAAAATTTATCATCCTATTCTACAAAATACTTTCCCTTAGCAGCTTCCTGTAATTGTAAATCTATTTTCACAAACTATTTTCTTTCTCTAAAAGTTTAATAATAAAATTATTATTATACTGGTATCTATAACAATGTTAATTATTTTTAAAATCTCTAAATTATCTTAAATATATATATTATCTTCAAGGAAACAAACCTTTCCAACGCACTATCTGTTAGCATCTACTGCTATTATAGAACCTGAATATATTATAGAATTTTAACTTTATACTTGTGCACATTCTTTTAAAAACAGCCTAAGAAACTTTGCTTTTCAAAAAGCTATTTCTAAAAGGAAAAAAATATTTCAGTGCTTTATGTTACCCTTTTAAAGGACTAAAGTACTAAAAAAGAAAGGTATCTGTCATTTTAAATAGCAACAGTTTATTTGCTATCACAATTCAAGAGAAGGATAATACACATACATATATAATCTTTACACACACCACATTCTGAATACTCATTAAACAACAGGATTTCTCAGTAAATGTGAATTTAATTATGCCATTATTTAGAAAACCAATTTCTAAAATTATAGATTACTTAACATTACTTTCCCCACAAGATATACTGCTCAAAAAAATAAAGGGAACGCAAACGTATAGGATCCTATACGTTTGTGTT